TAATGCTCATTCAGAGAGGCAAATGACTCTAATCCTGTATGGATGCAGGTGAACTTGTCAGTCTGAAAGGAGCAAGTTGAGAAAATGCCCTCATTTCTTATCAAGCCTGAGACTGTTCCTGGGTAGGTGGTTTTAGGATTTGAAGCGATTGGTGAAGGTTGAAACAGAAATTAGAAGGAATGATAAGGGAGTTGTCTAACCCTCAAGGACATGTGGCAGCATAGCAGATCAAATTGATCAATAAAAATAATGACAAAGCACTTACTAAGCATCGGGCCCTGCTCTCAGTACTCTGCCTGTATTAAATCATCACCTCACAACAACCCTAGGTATTTTCCCCATTTTGTGGATGAAAAAAATTAAGGCTCAGAGAGGTTAGGTGGTTTGCCCAAGTGAACTAGTTTAAGTGGTAGAGCCAGGTTTCAAACACTGACTGCTCCCAGGCCCTAAGCTCCTATCACAGTGTGATGGTTAGGATAAGACCAGGTAAGCAGGTGGTGGTTAATACAATGCCTAACAAATGCATGGTCCCCTAGTGGAAGCTCAACTGATATTAGTTCCCTCTGCTTTCTGGTTTTCAAGCCTCTCACCCCATATTTATTTACTCATCCTCTCCTTACTCACCAAACACACACACACAATGACACATTCACACACAGTCCAGTCTTTAACAACAAAGTCCACACTCAGGTATCTAGGTCACTAGGTGTCAAATCTATACATATGTTCTTCTTCCTGATAGGATTTCAGGTCACATACATAAAATGAGTCCTAGGACCAACCTCCGCCCTCCCCATCACTCTCCAAGGTGAATGTAAATACACACACGAACACTGACTCTGAATTCCAAACATATGCATATGCATAGCCTAGTATAAGGCAGAATTCAACTCCGCACTTTTCGTTTTCCGTTATCCAGGGAAATGCATGAGTTACCATGACAGATGCCAAAGACTTTTGGCTCTGGTAGTGGAAACTGGGAGGCAATGGTGAGATGAAGTAAGAAATTCCAGGGCCAGAAGGTGGATGCAAGTCAGCAACGGCTTTTCCCAGGAGCTTGCTCTTTTGGGGTAAGTGCTACACGTACAAGCCCCAACCCGCTGCATAAGCCACCCTATTCCGAACCCCGCTCAGGCTGCAACAGATGCACACACTGCAGGAAGCCTCATTTGCAGGAGATGAGTGTTCCCTTGCTCTATTTTAATCCTGGCAGCCCAGCCGGGGAAGGTTTTGTCAGAAATGGTGGAAAACAGTGACAACCAAGCTTTCTGGAGTAAAGGCTAGGCAACTCAGGAGCAACGAATCACGAATCGCACAGTATTTAATAATTCAAGGGAAAACAAGTATCCTTCCCGCAGGCCCGCACTTTTGCAGCCAGCTTGGGCAGCCGCGGTAGCGCCTGGGCGACGACCTTCCGGGCGCGGCGGAGACGCGAGCAGCGGTGCCCCGCGGCTCCGGAAACACCCCTTCCCCTATCCTCAAGGACCAAATCCGTCCTGATAAACACCCCTCCTGGCCCTACAGTGGGAAGGGCAAGTTCAAACGCAGGGCGTCAAGCCCACACGCCTAGAGACCCGGCCAGGCATCCCCCGCCCTCTTCGCTGCGCAGTCGCGCATGGTGAGCAACAGTCCCCACCAACCCCGCTTACTGCGCCTGCGCACTCCAGGGGTTGCCCCCCCCACGCCCCTTTCCGAGGCCTAGCGCCTGTCGCTTAGCAACGCGCGAGTCATAGTCGCGGCGCTTCGCGTGCGCTTTTCCTGGCAGGGCTGCGTCCCTGTTCTTCCCGGGAGGCTCCTCGCTGCCTGGTCCCGTAGAGGCCCATGGAGGGAAAGGAAGATAAGCATCAGTAAGTGCTGGGGTTTCGTGTCTTATTTCCCCTTCCAAAAACTATTTTCCTCCTTCAGGGGGAGGCCGGGGTCCAGCACGGACAGTCCAGGCCAAGCTCAGACAGTCCTCTTGCTTCTCTAATTTCCACTTGTCTGAGCGCTTACAACAATAATTTTTAAAACACACCGTTTTACTGAGCACATACTGTGTGTCAGGGACTTGACTTGCATTACTAGGTCTAAAATTCTTGAACTCATCCACAGTTCTCACAATTATTAGCAGATTTTGTAGGCTTTACCTTTAAAATTATCCAGAATCTACCACTGTTCATCACTTTCAGTACTGTCCCCACCCAGGCCCAAGTACCAGCTTCTCTTGCCTGGATGCTGCAACAGCCCTCCAGTTGGTGGCTTTGTTTTTCCCTTACTCCTCTGCAGCCTCCTCAACACAGCAGTCAGAGCGGTCCTTTTACAGCCCAGGTTAGATCGCTGTTCTCCATCCGACATCGTAGAGTAAAAGCCAAGGCTCCTCCAATGGCCTATGGAGTCTACACAACGCCCCCTTTCCCGTTTCTTGCCTCCCTCTGACAGGACTCTGCTACAGCAAACAGGCCTTTCTGCTATCATCTGCAGTGATAAAGACCAACATCAGCAGCACGTGGTTGTTAGGAATGCAAATTTTGGGGACTTCCCACCCCCGAGACACACTGAATCAGAAACTCTATGGCTAGGGCTCAATAATCTGGCTTCCACCAAGGCATCCAGGTGATTCTGATGTACCTTAAATTGAGACTATTAATCAAGGTAGTACATGCAGCTAGTCAGGAATGATGTGGAGCCAGTGATAACTTCTTCCAAAGCCTGTATTTTTGACCCTAGAACAATGGTTCTCACACTCGAACGTGCATAAGAATCAGCTAAACAGCTGGTTAAAACACGTTCCTGGGAACCAGCCCCAGAGATTCTGAGTTTGTAGTACTCACTAAAAACAAGTAAACAAAAAACTAGGTACATAAAAGAAATGGGGCCCATAAATTTGTATTTCTAACAAGGTCACAATTGATGCCAGTGCTGCTACTCCAGTGCCCATACTTTTAGAAGCAGTGCACTAAGGATGGTTACACTTCTGCTGGGAAGCTTTGGCAGTTACAGTTCACTCTGCTGGAATGCTTTTCCCACAGATACCCACTTAGCTCTCTCCTCCCCTCTTTTTTCAATTGCCACCTTCACAGTGCAGCCTCCACCCTACCTAAAAATGCAAACCTACCTCCCACATACATACACTCCCTTTTCCCACTCCCTATTTTATTATTGTCCTTAGCACTTAACAGACTATGTAATTTACTTTTTCATCTGCCTTTCCCCCATTAGAATGTAAGCTCTATGAGGGCAGGAATTTTTTGTTTTGTCACTGCTTTATCATCAGTGCCTCCAACAGCACCTGGCATGCAACTCAATAAATATCTGTTGAAACAATGAATTATTCAATGTTATTCTCCTGTCTCTTACTATAGGTATTGTTCCTATCATGCAAATGAGACAAAGGCTCAGATATGGCAGAACTGGGCTTCCAGTCCCTGTCTGACTCACTTCAGAGCCCATCAGTGTTTTTATCTGTGCTTTTCTTCTGGCAAGAGATTGCTAGAATCATATATTTCACGCTTACTTATCAACCCATAGGCATTCATACCACAAGTGCTTAATCAAATGAATTTAACTATATAAGCAAATAGCCCCAGTCCTTTTCTTCAAGGACTTGATCACTACAAGTGTATATTGTTGGGTGATAACTATGAGAAACAGGTGGAAAAAACTGATGCCAGATGCCTACAATAAATTGACCCCAAAGATTCTACCTTTAAATAAATAATTATATCTCTGGAAAGGTAATAGAAAAAGGTTTAGAAGTTTTTTACATTTTACCAGTATCAGTTTTTCCAAATCCTTTGCAGAAAGTAATTTTTGGGAAGAAGGAACTAGAATCCAAGGATTCTGAATATTGTTTTTATGTGTACTGGAGGGGTGGTTGAGGGTATTCAAACAAAGCCAGAGTAAACAACTCCAGCAGATTCACCAGAAATATGTAAATATTATAATGGCGGTCCATTTACCTTGGATGAACAGGACGCTTTCCCTGATGTTAGGCACGTGATGAATTCAACAATCTACACCTTCATGGAACTTATTGACTAGTAAAGGATATTTGTAGTGCTTACTAAAAACAAGTAAACAAAAAACTAGGTACATAAAACATTGTGGTGTTAATAAAATGAACAAAGTACTAAAATAGAGAACACATGTGGCAGGGAAAGGAAATCTAGGAAAAGCTGCTGAGGAGATGGTTTTAAGCTGAGACCTAAATATCCTGAGCCAGCTGTGCTGGGAGCTGGGAAAGAGCTGTCCAGGCAGAGGGAAGAGCATGTGCAGGTGCCGTGAGGGAAAGAGATTGATGTGTCCCTGGAACTGACAGAAGGCAGTCTGGTTGGAGGGTCTTGAGTGAGGTTGAAGAGATTCACTGGGGCAACTCACACAGGACCTTAGAAGTACAATTAGGAGGCAGTATTTTATTGCAAATGAATGGGAAACTACTTGAGGGTTTTAATTGAAAAGTGACATGGGCCAGGCACGGTGGCTCATGCCTGTAATCCCACCACTTAGGGAGGCCGAGGCTGGCAGATCACCTTAGGTCAGGAGTTCAAGACCACCCTGGCCAACGTGGGGAAACCCTGTCTCTACTAAAAAAAAAAATACAAAAGTTAGTCGGGCGAGGTGGTACGCACCTGTAGCCCCAGCTACTTGGGAGGCTGAGGCAAGAGAATCACTTGAACCTGGGAGGCAGAAGTTGCAGTGAGCGGAGATAGTGCCACTCCTGCCTGGGACAGAGTAAGACTCCGCCTCAAAAAGGGAAAAAAAGGAAAATGATGCGATAGAAGAGATGGACCTGGCATTCATTTGAAGGAAGGCAGGTGTTATACTTTAACGGCTGTGTGTAAGGTTAAACAGTGCTACCTGCTTTCTCTGTGAATTTGGGGTTTCATTGACTCACCTGCTGTGGGATCACGGCTTTGATTTTAAAAGCTTCTATGTAAAAAGTATTCAAATTCATATATTTCATTCTTTATTTTTCAAGTAGGTGAATTTTAAAAATACTGCCTTTTATAATTTCAATTTCTCCTTATTTGAAAGGAGAAAAATCTGATAAGCTGTTTCTTCTTATACATTTTAAAAATATTTTAGTAATTTTCATATTTGTAACAGTGTCCTTATTAGTGGCAAAAAATGAAGAGATTTATTTTGACTGCCATATAGTGTTCCTTTCTTGAAAATATAATAATGGTGCTCCTTTGGTGGCTTTAAGTTTGCCAGACAAGCTTTTGAAAATTAACTGGTTTATCCTTGTCCAGATAGCTGTTTACTAGGTAAACGGGGGAATAAAGCCATTCTCTTGGTAATAAAACTTTTAAAGAAGATGAGTTAAGTATAGGATGTAACTTGTCCACACACATAAGTACTGCAAACATGATTTGGAAGCATAATCCAATCACCACTCTTTCTTTACTCCAAGCAAATGAGAGGTGGTGCACTGCACTGGTATATTATAATGAGTGATCATTATTAACACAAATCCCTTTATCGCTTATATGATTTAGAATTAGAAAATGGCCTCCTACATTTTAATAGCACAAACCCTTTTAACTATTAATACAGCCTAAATTATCTTGACTGATGTTTGTAATATATTTAAATCTTATTTTATGTAATTTTGACTCAATATTTTAATGGTTACTTGGGTAAATGATTTGCTATTTGTGTTTTTCAGACAGCATAAAATAGAGGATGCTGCTATAGCATATGTAACTGAAAATGAAGAAATTAAACATGAAAAAAAACTTGGAAAAAGCATACAACATTCAAAACCACATGTCGGAAGAGGACGTATATATTATGCTAAATTCATTAACACAAATGCAAGAACATACAATGAACCAGTTCCCTACATAGATCCCAAAAAAGGGCCAGAAATACAGGTTGGACAGATGTTCATTGTATACAAATAGAGATTTAGATTCAGACGCTGTTTTGCAGAATAATTTGGTCACAGACTATAAAGGATGAGATACATCTCAGAGTAGTACTTATCATAATCCAATAGTTAAAAGCAGTAACCTGGAACTATTTTGGCACATGACTTTTACATATAAACAATACAGATACAGGGAGGGAATCTAAGTAATTGTTTCCCTAGATTGGGTCCAATTATTGCCACAAAATAGTGCTTTGGGGTTACTAAAGAAATTTCATGTATATATTGTATTTACAATATATATTCTAATATAAAAATGTCCCATGATACTCAGTAATTCACATACCTTCTGTAAAATAATAATCATTTATTGAAAGCATATGAAGTTCTAAGAATGAGCTAAGTGTTTTATATAAATTATATTTTTTAATCTCTACAATTTTTACGAAGTCTTATTGGAAATAGTTTACAGATAACACATATTCCGATGAGGTTAATTAACATATCTGAGATTAAGAAGCAAATGTCACAGTCATATTTCTGACCCAGGGCTATTGGTTTAGCCAAACCACACTTCATTGACTGTACCATGCTAAAAATATTCCCTTATCTTTTTTATAAAGTCAGGTTTGTTGCAGTACAATTTATTGTATTAGTTTCCTATTGCTCATCTTACAAATTTTCACAAACTTAAAAGATGGTTGAAAGCAGCACATATTTATTCTCTAGCTTAGAACTCCAAAATCCATCTCCCTGGCTGTTGCCAGGCCTAGTTCCTTCTGTAGGCTCTAAGGGTGTATCAGTTTCCTTGCCTTTCCCAGCTTCTAGTGGCTGCCCACGTTCCTTAGTTTATGGCACCTTTTTGTTCGAAGTCAGCAACACAGCATCTTCAACTCTTTCTCTGACCCACTCTCCTGACTCTCTCTTATAAGGACCCTTGTGATTAGATTGCACCCACCCAGATAATTCAGGATAATCTCCCCATCTCAAGATCCTTAATCACATCTGCAAAGTCCCTTTGCCATGCAAGGTAGCATTCACACATTTGGAGATTAAAACATGAACAATCTTTAGGGACAGAGGGAGGGAACATTATTATGCCTACCCTTACACAGTAAATTAGTTACCCTTGTAGTGTATAATTCTCTGAATTTTGGTAAAAGTGTAGTCATGTTACTCCATCACAGTCAAGCCATGAATCATTTCCATCACCCTCAAAGGATCCCCTGTGCCCTTTTGTGGTCATCCCCTTCCTCTACTCAAACAGCCACTGATCTGTTTTCCATAGTTTTGCCCTTTCCAGAAAGTCACGTTAATGGAATTATACAGTATGTAGCTTATTGAACCAGTCTTTCAGAATAAAGCATTTGGGATTTGTCCATGTTGCTGCAGCATGTCACTAGTTCATTCCATTTGGTTGCTGCAACACACTTGCCATGTGACTTTGGGCAAGTCATGCTAAGCTTCAATTTCCTAATTTATATAATAAGGATAGTAGTTGTCCATCATGGGGTTTTTGTGAGAATTAAAATATTTTTGTCAGTTATTGTTCTAGACACTAGAGATACAGCAGTGAACAAAGTAAATGGGGAAAAACTCCTGTCCTTACATAACTTACATTTTAGTGAGGGAATAGATAAAACAAGTAAGCTGTATTCGAATGTTATATGGTAGTAAGGGCGGCATGCAAGGCAGGATAAGGAAGGCTGCAGGCAGAGCTGCAATTTTAAATTGGTGGTCAGAGAAGGCTTCACTGAGCGACATTTGAGTGAAGACCTGAGGGAGAGTGAGGGAGTAAGCATGTAGGAACCTGGCAGAAGAGCATTCATAATGCACAAAGGAAGCACTCACTAGACATTAGCTCTTAGTAGCAGCAGAATCCTAGTCTACTGCTCTTTGCAGTGATGGGGACTCATTTGCAGCTGAGAGCAGGATTCTATGAGAGAAGACCTAGTACAGTGCTGGGCCAGGCAAGTGTTCAACAGATGGGATTCAAAATACGTCACAGCAAAGGTAATAATTTCTCATGTAGGTTTTTTCCAGCATATTTGGAAAAGGAAATGTGTACCATCTAAATGGTCTCAGATCACTGTGCCAATGTCCGCCTCCTCCTACTCCACTTCTTTCTTCATCTCTCTGTGTGTTAGGTATAGTGATTTAACATTTAGATGGAGATTGCTTTTTGTGAGCTCTCTTCATACTGATAACATCTGTTCTTGTCATAGACAGCACACCATGGTGTGAATGTGAGATCTTCTTGGGGCAGGAATTCCTGTGGTTAAATGTACTTTAATTCATGAACTAAGCCCTTTTAAGGGCCATATTGAGAGTACTTCATTTTGTACACTTGCTTATGCTCGCATACCAATTATTTCAGATTTTAAAGAAATCAATTGTTATTGTTAGACCAGACCTACACCGGGGAAATTAATTTGGTACCAAAATCCAGATTAGTGAAGTTCTTACATTTCTTGTAAAGGCTCATGAATGACTCTGAGCTCTAGTTCAGGGTTGAATTTAAAACTATTCACTGAACTCATCCTTACATTGGCAGTACTAAGAAAAAGAAGCTGGTTTGAGAATAGAAATATGAAACATAAAAGTTTAAAAACTTTATCCCACCTAATTTTCTCTTACTTCTTACTCTATCGGTATGTTGGAAAAAAAATGAACAAAGATGTTAAGAGCTACTATCCGCAAGACTAGGTGACAGAGCAGTAGTAGAATCATTATTAGCGCTGGACCTTTAAGAGATGGTGAAAGTGAGTTTGAGATGAAGAGCTCAAATAAGGGAAGCTGTCAGTGAATACTAATGAGGAGAGTTACAGAGAAAGACTGAAGATATCACTGAGTTACAAGCATGTCTGATTTGGGTGTGGCAGGAAGGGAAAGTTTATATTTTAAAAACATAGCCTGGGCAACATGGTGAGACTGCATTTATACAAAAAAAAATTTAAAAAAATAGCTGGGTGTAATGGTGTATGCCTGTGGTCCCAGCTACTTGAGAGGCTGAGGCAGGAAGATTGCTTCCACCTGGGAGGTCAAGGCCGCAGTGAGCTGTGTTCACGCCATTGCACTCCAGCCTGAGTGACAGAGTGAGACCCTGTCTCAAAAAGAAAGAAAATAGGCTGGGCACAGTGGCTCACACCTGTGATCCCAACATTTTGGAAGGCCAAAGCAGGAGGATAACTTGTGCCCAGGGGTTTGAAATCTGCCTGGGCAACATAGTGAGACCCATCTCTACAAAAATAAATAAATAAATAGCCAGGTGTGGTAGCAAGCCTCCGTAGTCCCCACTACTTAGGAGGCTGAGGCAGGAGGATGGCTTGAGCTCAGGAGTTCAAGGCTGCAGTGAGCAATGATCGTGCCACTGCACTCCAGCCTGAGCAACAAAGCAAGACCCTATCTCTAAAAACAAATTTTAAAATAATAAAATAAACAAAAACAACAATGAACCTTAAATCTACTCATTTCTAAGTATCCAAGGATTAATAAAGAACATATATTTCACATATTTGTAAACTGTTCCTTTAAGATGACAGGTTTCTTTTTAAAGGTTAGCTTGGTTAAGAAAAAAACTGGTTGACAGTAATGCTGTCTTTATAAGAGTAAAGAATATAAACTTGCCTAAATATTTTAAATGACACCTGTTGTTTTATGTGTTTTGCTAAGATAGTATCTTTAGGATGCAACACGAGATTGGTTGGTTTTATTTATTTACAAGATTTTTAAGATTTCATCCATTTCTACCTAGGAACATAAAATTGGGGATGCTAGAAAAAGTAAGAAGTTGTTTTAGCTCAGTCATTTCCAAAGAAAACTGGTTTGATTGTCTTGTATTTTTGGCTGGGTGCGGTGGCTCACGCCTGCTATCCCAGCACTTTGGGAGGCTGAGGTGGGCAGATCACGAGGTCAGGAGTTCGAGAGCAGCCTGGCTGGCATGGTGAAACCCCATCTCTGCTAAAAAAACAAAAAATCAGCCGGGCATGGTGGTGCATGCCTGTAATCCCAGCTATTTGTGAGGCTGAGGCAGGAGAATTGCTTGAACCTGGCAGGCAGAGGTTGCAGTGAGCCAAGATCATGCCACTGGACTCCAGCCTGGGCAACAGAATGAGACTCCGTCTCAAGAATAAAATAAAATAAAATAAAAATATTTTTAAATATTGGTACTTTAAAAGAGATAGTATATACAAGGTTGGTATTTTCAAAAGTTTATTTTTCAGAGCACTGACCCTTGTCTACATGCTTGACAAAATAAATTTGCAAAGTCAAATACGTTTTGGAAAAGCTGTATTCTTATAAACCTTTCTCAGAGCTTCACAATTCACATTGGTGTGTAAAGGTTCTGAGAAATCTTGTGATAAACTTATTTAACTTTGTTTTTCTCACTATTTCCCAAAGTTATTTAACTGTGGACACCTCTTTTGTATAACACCTATTAATATGCTGGAGAACTAGTGTTCCACAGAACACAATTTTTGAATTTTTTTTTATGGGGGGGCATATCATAAACTGCTTAAAAACAGATTTTTTTAAGCACTCATAACATCTATAGCAAAATAGAGGTGAATTTAGGTACAGTGTAACCAATGTGACCTTAGCTGCCCTAGTGTCTGTGATAGTACTTCAATTTTTTAAAGCCACTGAGCTCTACCAACAAAATGTGATTGTTTATGTATAGGTTTTGTCAAAAGCCCACATTTCCTTGGGAATCCACAAAGTATGATTTTATGTTCCACAGATCACCACCACCAGCCATCTTGGCTAGGCCACTGTGGCTGTGGAGCTTGGCTTATGACCTCTTACATTCGCTTAACTGGTTTCTCTAGGATACTTTACTTGCTTTTACTACTTCTCCTCTGAGGATTCTCCCTTAATTTCCCAAAGAATGGAAAATAGGTAATCTTTACTAGAACATCTCTGAAAGCTTGGGGGTACTAGGAGTATAACATAGAGACTGCCTTGCACTGGCTTCCAAATGTGACTAAGGGACCCACAGTGCAACAGCTACTGGCCTTTCCAGAGCTGCGGGTTAGAAGAAGCCCCGTCCATCATCAGGAATCTCCAGGCACCTCCTGACCATGGAGCCCAGTGACTATCATCCTGGGGCAGGAAGGAAGACAGGCCTTAGACTGGGAGGGATAACTCCTCTCTGGGTCCAAAGTTTGAGTTAGGCAAAACCCCCTCAACAATCTGCAAGATATGGTCTGTTGCCCAGCACCTAGACAGAGCCATCACGCTAGGTAACTTCCCAGCTTATTTTGTCATAAGTAACTGTGTTAACCCCCCACAATCCAATATAAGTGATGGTACACAGAGCAGTAAATTTTGTGTTAGTCTTTCCTTTCAGTATGAGATAAAGATAAAAACGAGCCTCCATCTATCTCTTTCCTTAATCTCATAATCTTTTATGAGTAACTGCTTGGACCAAAAAGGCACGCACATGTTACATGGGCGCATATGCACTCTCACTCTTCCAGGAAAAAACCAAACTTTTTAGGCATAACGAAGACTATCCAGAAACATGAAAGCTAACCTTTTTTTTTTGGACTGTAAGATTTCACTCAGCTAAAGTGAAGATGCATCCAATTTATAACACTCATCAGAACACTTTCACAAACTGCAGTCTTGAAGTCACCAATCATATTTTAGGAAAAACTGTTCTCTATTTCCTTTATATATGTGAAACAAAGACCATTTTGGCAAAATTCTCAGTTTAAAAGAAGTTTGCTCAAAAGATGAAATTATCTCTCTGATTTAAGGGTAACTTTGCATTACACTTTTAAGAAAAAATTATAGCCAGGCATGGTGGCTTATGTCTATAGTCCCTGCTACTCAGGAGGCTAAGGTGGGAGGATCACTGGAGTCCAGGAGTTTGAGGCTGCAGTGAGTTGTAATCGCACCACAACACTCCAGCTTGGGTGACGGAGGGAGACCCTGTCTCAAAAAAATAATAACAACAAATAATAATAATTAAAGCCCATCAGCCATTTCCTAGTGGTTTGCTCATCCCAGAGTCATTTTTCCAGTAACTTGAATATTAGCAAAATAAGTTTTTGATCAACAAAAGTAGATGATATAAAGTGTTTGTGCATGCTTTACAATCTTATCATAGAAGAACTTTCTCAGGATACTTGCTGCTATGGTTTGAATGTTTGTCCCCTCCAAACTCATGTTGAAATGTAATTTCCATTGTAACTGTATTAAGAGGTGGGACTCTTTAAGAGGTGATTAGGTCATGAAAGCTCCACCCTCACAAGTGAAATGAATGCCATGATAAAAGGGCAAGTTTGGTCCCCTCTTGCCCTCTTTTTGCCCTTCTGCCTTCCACCATGTGGGGATGCAGTGTTCAAGGTGCCATCCTAGAATCATAATTACCAAACCTGCCAGTGGCTTGATGTTAGACTTCCCAGCCTCTAGAACTGTGAGCCAGTAAATTTCTGATCCTTGTAAATTACCCAGTCTAAGGTATTCTGTTATAGCAGCACAAAACAGACTAAGACATGCACTTTGAGCCTCTATTTTCACTTCTTCAATAATTTAATGTGGTTTGTGCTTACCTGGTTTTGCATTCCACAGCCGGTTTGATACAGCAGTGCAGCACAGAAATTAGAGGTGTGCACAAAGAGTTGGGGGTTTGAATTGTGGCAGTGCAGCAGTCTGCTAGTGATATACCTTGGGGAAGTTACTTAATCTCCTGGCAGTTTTCTCATCTGTAAAGTGGGTGTGCCTGCCTCATAGAATTGTGATAAGCATAATATAAGACCTATAAATCCTAGACCTTGGGGCATAATAAGCACTATTATAACTGTGAAGTGGAGTGGAGAAGAGCTGCCAGAAGCAGGCGCTCTGACAACAGTAGGATGTGACTATTTTCAGCCAGATAGTGAGAAGACACCATCTGTTTAGTAATCTGTTCTAGAATTTTCCTAGGATCTACATCAAGTAGTCTTAATTTTTAAAATTCACCTTTTAGCCCATTCTGAAAAATGAAGCATTAGCCAATCTATTCTCCAAAATGCACTAGTTCCTAAATTTCTGTGATCTCTGCAGAAATTCCCCCTAGTTACAATTACCAGTTATTCCATTACTCCTGCTTACAATTTGTCGTTGGCCTAAAAACTGGCACTCTTATAAACTGACAAAGTGAAGTCCAACTCTCTCATCAGCTCTTCAGGGCTTAGTTCTTTGGTACATGTTCATCCCATCTTTTTCAAGTTAACCATAATTTTCCTTAACAACCTCAAGTTGAGTAGTTCTGACTTTCCTGAACAAGATTCTTCTCTCCAAATGGTTAGCCGGAACACAAAAGATAACCTTTTTTGGGGCCGTAGGATTTCACTCAGCTATGAACAATTTTTCTAGAAAACCTTATTTTTGCTGCCTTTGACAATTTTATAAATTTATAAATTTCTTCCAAGTTTCTTGACAATCTTCTGACAAGCTGACTCCATTAATGATTTTTTAAATCGAATGTTGTATATGTCTTTTATACGTGCCTGTCTTTTTAGAAACTAAGCTCATTTGAGAGCTGACTTCCTATGCAGCCACACAGGCTTTTGTTTGTTTGTTTGTTTGTTTAAAAGAAACATCTCCCTTTTTGCATCAATGTAGCCCCAATTGTATTGTCAGAATTTTACCTATTAGATTTGCATATTCATCCCCCTTGAATCATAGTTTAGAAGTCTTTGGCTATGGAATCATAGTTGATTTTTTAAAAGGCAGACTTGCTTCCTTATAGCCCACGGTAGGTGTTTGATTATACCGAAAGTTACTTTCATACCCTAATTGTATTCCGGGAACTCCCAAGTGTCATGGGTTTCTCAAGGGGTTTCTTACTACCACCTAACAACCAGTTTTAAAATATTTGGTTAGAATTAAGTTGACTAACAGTTCCCCTCTGTACTCTCTGAACTTCCAAGAAATCAAATTGTCATACAGGCTAATGAAGAATCTTTCAGTTTTCCCTTTCTTGTATACTTAGGTTTTAGTACCAAAATTCAGTAACATTGGAGAGATTTCCCCTTAAAACAAAGTTTATCAAACTGAGTCATTAGTGAACCATAAATCATTGAGTTGCAGTCAGCAATGTGAAATGAAATAGGAAAGCAATAAAATAGAAGAGAAAAATAGCTGAGCACACTGCATATAGTAAGAATAAGTATTTTGTGAAACTTTTGTTTCAGTTTTATGTATATGTAGCATTGTGCGCTCTTGTATGACATAAAATGTATTTCATGGTACAGGTTAGGGACTAAAAACTCTAAAAACCACCATTTTTAGATGATAATACATTATTTGTATTGTCATAATGAAAAGTTTAGAACATAATTTTTTAGATTAAATATTTAAATATATACATACATGTGTACATATATAATAAAATTGTAGTACAAAACAAATACAGCTATTTTGTTGATTTTTACCATTTTATTTGTTGATGGAAAGTAGCTTAAGAATTTAGCAGCTGTAGGCCGGGCGCGGTGGCTCAAACCTGTAATCCCAGCACTTTGGGAGGCCGAGACGGGCGGATCACGAGGTCAGCAGATCGAGACCATCCTGGCTAACACGGTGAAACCCCGTCTCTACTAAAAAATACAAAAAAATTAGCCGGGCGAGGTGGCGGGCGCCTGTAGTCCCAGCTACTCGGAAGGCTGAGGCAGGAGAATGGCGGGAACCCGGGAGGCAGAGCTTGCAGTGAGCTGAGATCCGGCCACTGCACTCCAGCCTGGGCGACAGAGCGAGACTCCATCTCAAAAAAAAAAAAAAAAAAAAAAAAAGAATTTAGCAGCTGTATTTTAGCTGAAAATACGTAACAACTCATTTTTCCGTGCCTTCAAAGAAATACATTTTTTTGTGAAAAAATATTTCTAGATTTCAGAATTCCACATTAGTACTGGGATATCCACTAACTTGTTAAAGTGAATTACTGAATATCCATAGACATCAAGCAATAAATGAAAATGCCCTACAGTATCCAATATTGTGTTTCCAATTATTTTCTATGAAGGGTGACTGGTGGTCACATGGTAAAGCACTGGAACCTGTCTTCCTACCACCTTATGACTCTAAGAGTACCCAGAGGAGTGATTTCCAAAAACCAGCATGTCCACTGGTTTTGCCAGTCAAACACAGCAAGATGCAAAAGCCTTCTTGTGGAATAGGTAAGGTTTTGTAGTGGCAAAAACCGTTTTTGTTATCTCAAATTATTGCTGTCAAAACTAAGATGTATTAGATGTCCTGACACCTCCTGAAAAAGTTCTTTACAGAAGTTGAAAATATACACACAGCAAGTGCAGCCCTTGGGAAGTTTGTTATTTCTTTCTAGTGGACAGTTTGTCTCCAAACAGTTAATGTGACATAAGGAAAATTGTACTGATCATTAATAACACCAGCCTCAAAGTCAGAAACTTAGTAGCATTCTGCTGGTTGTTGCCACCACATTTTAATAGTTATAACTATTGTCACTTCAAAGAAGGTAGTTGATGAAGGGGGCTATTAGATAATCTGTAACAGTGACCTGTCATTTAGAAAGATAATAAAGTTTCCACTTCTGGTTCAGGATAGTAGACTGAGCACACATACCTAAGTTTCCTGCCTTCCAAGACCCTATTACTATAAATAGTAGCAAAGCAATAAACTCCGAAGGGTGAAGATAATAAAAGGAAGAACTTTCTGGAATGTAGAAAAGACCAGAAGCCTACTGACAGATAAAAGAGAATAAAGAAGCAATAGCTATAAGGAGATGCGCAAAGAGGCCGGGCGCGGTGGCTCAAGCCTGTAATCCGGGTGGATCACGAGGTCAGGAGATGGAGACCATCCTGGCTAACACGGTGAAACCGCGTCTCTACTGAAAAATACAAAAAACTAGCCGGGTGAGTTGGCGGGCGCCTGTAGTCCCAGCTACCCGGGAGGCGGAGCTTGCAGTGAGCTGAGATCCGGCCACTCCAGCCCGGGAGACAGAGCGAGACTCCGTCTCAAAAAAAAAAAAAAAAAAAAAAAAAAGAAGGAAATGCGCAAAGAAGAGACAATCTGCCTGGCCAAAGCCCTGACTGAGCTACATGCCGAGCCAGCAGGCATAGTGGAAAGCAAAAATGAAAAGCAAGTAGGAGACAGAGAGTTACTTCAAAGCATGTCCCTTAAATAAAGGCTCCAGTCATGAGCACTCCACTCCATCCTATCCCAACATTAAGACTACTAGAGCGCAGTGTCTTAGCCAGATGTCAACTACCACACCAGTTATTTCAGTAAATCAAGCTGATCCCCCATCCCCTTCTTATGAATGGACAACCAAAGATTAGAATTATGCCAATTAAAAAAAAAAGATTTGGAGGATAAAGGCAGGGAAATATCACAGAGCATAAAACAAGAAAACAGAGGCTTCGAAAATGAGAAGGAAAGCAAAATAGAGGATCTGGTTGGGAAATCCAACTTTTCTGGAGCTCCAGAAAAGAGAAGATAAAGATGAAGGTAGATAATTAGCAAAACATAACATTTCTTGAGCACATACTATTTGCCAGGCAGTTTATGGAGCTTTCTGAATAGTAACTCATTTAATTCCCACATAAACTCTATGCAACATAATAGTGTAGTAATACTATTAATATTATTTTTCAGATAAGAAAGTGTAGGGAGGCAAAATTTTACCTCTACCCTCTTAGTGTTTTTGGCTGGGCTTGAGAATTAAATTGACACAAAGATCAACAGGAGAAAAGCATACAAATTTATTTAATACAAGTTTTACATCGCAGGGGAGCCTTCATAAGGAAATGAAGACCCAAAGACACAGAAACAACACATATACTAAATTGGACAAAGAGTAGAAAATTATAAAAATGGGACAAGGCAAAGGACTTTGGGCTAGGGTAATTGGGTAGAGAAGTGACTAGGAAGGTAAGGGTGAGTTGAACAGGTTTATTTGTCTAGATTTCCCCTCACCTCAAATTCCTGTGCTTGATGATGAGAATGATGCTTTCCTTCTGGTGTAGGAGGATACCTTTTACGCAGGAATTTCATCTCCTGCTTTTGAGAAAGAGAAGGAAGGTCAGACTGTTTTTCTTGCATCTGCTGTTTTTCAAGTGCCTTTAACTCAATACAGTCAATATGCCAGAGTGGCATTTTAGAGTGGCATGTTCTGAACTCCTTTGGAAGCAAGCATGGAGTTGAAATAATGTGCCCAAGGCTACACAGTGAGTAATTGGCACTTGCACCCAGCTAACCTGACTCCAGTACATATACTCTTAACCAGTACTGTACAGTACTCTACACAACCTCTAAAATAGTAAGAAAGTTTCCCTACATAAAATGCATTAAAAGGGTCTACTGAGTGCTTCTAAGTATGAAGGGGTAAAAGATGCATATCATTACAAAATTGCAAAACAATCATCAACAGAAGATTCTAAAAGTTTCCATAAAGGGACAGAAAAATAAGCCACCATCTAAGAAGTAAGTATCAACATGGAATCAGGCAGCACTGATGCAAGAGTACAATGGAGTTAATATCTTCAAAGTTCTCTGGGGAAATACTTTTTGACCTAGAATAGGGAATTTATTTGGCATGGATACTAAACCATTTTTTTTCAAGTGGCACTGGGCATTACACCCACTGAGAAGGAAATGAAGTCCTGGCACAACATTTGACCCTTAAATGAACAAGATGCATGTAATTATGTAATACTATGCATGCTGTTTAGTAGTTTTCAACTTTTAGGCTCAATCTATAGACACAAGTTTAAATATGGTTACAGAACAGAATGTATCTTTAATAAGAAAAGTAAGTGCACAACGATAGAAGATGAGAAGTAGAAGAGAAGAAGGGTGCTAACATCATTATTTGCGATATAGGTAATCAAGAGATACTATCCAGTGGGGGTGAAACAAGGAATAGATGTTTAAGGTGAAAGGTCAAAGGAACCAGTCTAAAAAACAAATTTCTCTAACCCTGGCTTTTTTACTGAGCTTCAAGTTCACATATCCAAACACCTACTTAACATCTCCTCTTGGATAGCTAGTCACCTTCTCAAACTTGATATGGCTGGAATAGAATGCTTCATTTCTCCCATCCAAACTTACCCCCACGAGTCTTCTCCATCTCAGTGAATGCCACCTCCACTCTCCCACCAGGTGCTCACGTTTTGATAAGCTAGAAGGCATTCTAAAACTCTCTCCTTTTGCTCCCTGCCCCTACATTCAATCCATCAGCAAATCGTGACACCTCTATCTCCAAAAGACCCCAAATCTACTCCTTTCCATCTTCACTGTAAGCAATGCAGTATAGCCACTATTACCCTGCTTGCTTTCTTCCTCCTCTTTATGTGTTTTCTGCAGCATTGTCAAAGGATCTTCTAAAATAAAACAAATGATATTCTCCTCCTTTAGATTCTCCAGTTACTTCTGTTCACAGAATAAATTTCAAATTCCTCGGTATGGCCTACACGGCCCTTTTTGATCTGTCAAATTTACCTGCATTATCTTCTATTGCTCATGTGAGGATTTAGAGACACAGAATATAACTCAGACCAAGGAGGTAGAGACACTCTCTGAAAGTCAAGCTTGTTTCCAAACCAGATTTATGTCTATGTACTTGTTACTGTATTTCCATATTTTAATTACGTATTCTTGTGAATTAAAATCTGAGTAAGAAAACAGTTGTTTCTGTAAAACATTCAAAGTTGAATCTGCAGACTTGATAAAAGGTCAATTGCTAACTTTAAAAAATGCTAATTAGGTATAGGCAAAATAACAAAGAGGAGTTGGACTGAATTTTTAAAATCTTGAAGGATTCTGCACTCATTTTGCTTGAAATGTGTCTTTACGTTTCATTCTATGTCAAAGAAATAGAAACTGGAAGTGATGCATTAGAAGCATGGTTTGCACAAGAAACACAAAGTGGAATTCCAATCAGTAGACACCTCCTCAAAGAAAATGGCTTGGCATGCCAATAAAAATTTGATGAACTGGTTAAAATATGTATCTACATATGGCATATTATTTTTTGCTTTAACTTTCTTTGGTAGCCAACCAGTCCTTTGCATATAAGGAGCAGTTATGGTACTTTCCTACTCAAGTTGAAGGGATGTAGAAGAGTGGCGAAAGATGATACTGGAGAAATGGGCTTTGTTCTGGGTTCATAAGGCAGGGCTCAGTCATTTCATAAGGGATCCCCCAAAATCAGGGTCTGTAGATCTACTTAATTTGCCCAGAGAGAAATCCTCCAAATCTCTGCCTAGGATGGAGGACAGAAAATCCAGGAGTCCCTTAAAAGCAGTCCTCTGCAACATCACCTTGTCCCCCTGTCCCACACTCCCTGCCTCAGAGGCATCTGAGGCCTCCAGATTCCGGGGCACTCCTAGAATGCTGTGGCATGAATTGGCTTAATTTTTACCCCACCCTCTTCCCCATAGCACTTAATTTCCAGTTTTTTGTAGTTTACTTGAGTCTATTGCTACTTATCCATCTGTTTTCCAGCTTCCAAATTTGTTAACATCTTCACTCCCATTTAGTTTTTTCCTTAAGGATGTAAGCCCTCTTAAATTTCTGTAGTGTGATTGTACTGGGGCTTGGGGAAGGAATGGGGGAAATGCATGTTGAATTTGCCATGTTTAACTGGAAATCACGGCAACTTTGTCACTATCAACACTCCTTTTATAATATTGGTTCAGTATTAAACTTAGTACTGTGTGAACCTGAACCCATTAAATTTAATCATCCTGTTTTGCTCAGTTTATGAAGTGAGAATAATTCCTACTTCGCAGGATTGTTGTGAGAAACATGTAAAGTGCCTAACACAGTGTTTGCTACATAGTGGACAATAAATGGTAACTGCTTCTATTATCAATAATTGCATTGTACTACGTTGTGCGTTGAGTTGAAATTTAGCTTGAGAATCTGGCATGGTTCTCTCTCTGTTCTTTTATTGGTATTTCTTTTTCTCTCTCTGTTCTTTTGTTGGCATTTCTCATTGCCAAGTTAATTATTGTATCCTAGGATCTAGAACAATGCCCAGATTCAATAAATATTAGCTAAATGATAATTATACATTCTTCAATAAAGTCATAATGTAAAGTAACATATACTACATAATACAGGCCTGCAATTTATTCATATTTTAGGTATTCGGATATTAGATGAAAATGATTTTTAAAAAAGAAAATGTTTTAATGTG